TCCCCAGAAATCAGGACAGTTAATAGCTGTTTAGGGAGAAAGAACTATGAATTGCATTATAAGAGGATAAGACTAATTCATCAAAGAATTACTTTAAATTACTACGTGAATTAAATGTTAATTAAAAAATGCAATGACTTTAAGGAAAAAAAAAAAAAACAAAATAAACAGCAACTCCCAATGCTTGAGTCTCCAAAAACAAGTACTGTAAAACTAAACCATGGAAAGGCTTGTTACTAGCCTTTTGTACAATTCACAAATATTTTTTGAGCATAGTATTCTTGAGTACTGCTCTAGGCACTGGAGCTCCATGGTCAATGAAACGGACAAGATCTCTGCTCTCATGGAACTTATATTCTACCATACAATAAAAAAACAACCTAAAAAACAAAGCAAAAACAGGATAAGAACATACAAAGTGAATGGGGGTAAGAAGGCTCCTTGGAAGACAGGACATTTGAGTTAGGACCCAAATGACATGAAAGAGACAGCCATGTGACAATCTGGGAACAGAATTTTCTAGGCAAAGACAATACAAAATACAAAGGTACTATAAAAATTTTTGATGGATTATCTCTAAATCAAGTTCTTTTAATAAAAAGCATTATCCAGTGATTCCTATGTATGCTACTGTTTGAAAACCATTGATTGTAAAAACCCTAAATGGCAAATAAATAGTATGAAATGATCAGGACAGGATTAAAATAAGAATAACATTAGTTCATGATAAGAAGCATTTTATAGAATGCTAAGCATATGCTATGCACTGTGCTAAATGATATAGTCTCATTTTCAGGATGAAGACACATTTTAAGATACCCATGACATTTATTTTATTTTTTTATTTTTATTTTTTTTGTCTTTTTCCATGTCCGGCAACGGATCGCAACCCTCAGTGTCGCCCCCGTACCGGACCGGGACCGGCAACGGGATCGCAACCCTCGGTGTTGCCCCCGTGCCTCGCTCAGCCAGTGAGCGGGAACTGGTCTGTATGTGGGATCCGAACCCTCGGCGGGAGCGCAGCCGCACTTCCCAAGCGGCGCACTAGCGCAGTGCGCCACCGGGCCGGCCCGATACCCATGACATTTATAATTAACCATATTTAAACTAACTTAGTGATAAAGTAGGTCAAAAGTGGCTGAATAGATGAAGATACTCAATCTTCCTCTTAAATCATGCAAAATTTTTTTTTTTTTTGTGACCGGTAAGGGGATCGCAACCCTTGGCTTGGTGTCCTCCACACCGCGCTCAGCCAGTGAGCACACCGGCCATCCCTATATAGGATCCGAACCCGTGGCGGGAGCACCACTGCGCTCCCAGCACCGCACTCTCCCGAGTGCGCCACGGGGTCAGCCCAAATCATGCAAAATTTAAAACACCAAGCTAGCATTTCACTTATTAGATATCCAAAAATGCTAATGACTCATAATATTCAAGGTTGGTGAGGGCTAGAGTGAAGGAATGCTCTCATTCAATATAGTTGTGTCAAAATTGTTTTAACTTTTTTTAACTAACAAAAATTATATATATTTATGGTGTACAACATGATGTTTTGAGATAATTAAACATTATGGAATGGCCGAATCAAGCTAATTAACATGCATTATCTCATATACTTATTTAATTTTTTTTGTTACAAATTCTCACTAGTTACCAACATTGATGACAAACTCTCATGCTGTGCATATTCTGATTATATGCCACACCTTAATGACTCCCACATGACTGCATAAAATTGCATTTAGAAATGTTCTTTATGTATTGCTTATAGTAGTAAAAAATTGAGAACATCCCTAATGACTATCAATAAGGGATTAAATAAATACATAATGAAATATCTATAGTATACAATACTACGCAGTGCTAAAAAAAAGTGATGATGAAAATTGATGAACACTGAAATGAAAAAATGTCCAATATACATTATAAAAGGAAAATAATGCATGTTTGTATATAATTTTTGTGTTAACAGAAGTATGCTAATATTTATAAAACATACATGTTTACTTACAGAAAATATCTAGAAGGACAAATACTAAGTCGTTACTAGTAGTTCTTCTCTTATGACTGGGATTGGTGAGGAGAGTAAGAACAGAAAGGATAAACAAGAGACTTCTTTTTAAATTTCATAAATGTAGTTTTTAAATGTCTAGGGTTCTGGTCAAGATGGTGGAATAGATGGTTCCCAGTGTTACTCTCTCTCACAAATCAACCAATTTACAGCTATAAAAATATAACATCAGCCAAGCTGGAGCCACTGGGGCTCAGGGGAAGAGGAGGAGAGACCTACGGAGTTCATGAAGGTAGGAGAAACCAAGATGAGAGAAAGAAAAAGCTGCTCTGACCGTTTTGGTCCATGGCTGCTTTAATGCTGGAACTGATGAGCGCATGGAGCAGGAACAAGCAGAAGCCACAGCTGTGCCCTTCAGATGGAGTTACTTTGAGGCAGCAGGAGAGAAGAGGGCCTTGGCAGCCCCCAGGACAACAAGACCACTAATAGGGTTCCCGTGGATCCACGCAGGAGGAGCCAGAACAACTGAAAAAAGGGAGCCATTTAGAGGCTGGTGAGTCATTGCAAGGACCAGTGCAGGGCCCGTCCCATGGGAAGTGTTTGGAGCACAGACGGTGGGTGAGATGGGCACACTGGGAGAATACTGGGACACAGCAAGGACAGCCAACCTGTCCCCTAATCAACACAGGACCACTCAGAGGAGAATGATCAGGAGTGCAGAATTGCACGGGGTGCAGTTTGATGAAAAAACTCAGGCCCAGATCAGAGATTCTACAGAACACAGATCCACCGGGTCTCTGGAGAGTCGGAAGTACCTATAAGATCAACCATTAAACCCTGAGCTGCACAAAAAGCCTTCTCTAGGTAACAGCAGCAAAGCAGCAATTTAAACAACCACACAGCTCAAGTATTGGTTCCCGCAGGAAGTTCCCCCGTGTTAGAAGTAAGCAAAGGACAAAAAATTAGTTCTGGCCCAGGCACACCACCAGCACCTTGGGGCCTGCCAGGGGACCTGAGGCATGGAGAAGGGGACCAGACCCCCCTCCCACAACCAGGCACACCAAGCCAGCGCCTTGTGTCCCACCCAGTGACCCAAGGCATGGAGCTGGGGACCGGACCCTCTTCCCACAACCAGGCACACCATGCCAGTGCCTCAGGGCCCACCTGGGGACCAAGGCATGGAGAAGGGGACTGGACCCTCCTCCCACAACCAGACACATGGCATCAGCGCCTTGGGGCCTGCCCAGGGACCAGAGGCATGGAGAAGGGGACCAGACATACCCCACAAACAGGCACACTGCCAGCACCAAGGAGCATGCCAAAAATATCACCTCCATGTGGGTGGCCCACCACAGCTACCACAATAACCATGGCTGCTGTGAAAGTGGCTAGATGCCACAACCACCACACAGATGGTCCGCCAACCACTGGAGTGCATTCACACAAGGAGAGTCACCAGCAGAGACAAAGAAAAGAAGAGGACGTCTCTCACCACAAAGCCCATTTCAGAGTGACAGAAGAAGCATCGGCTCTACAATAATATTGGGGGAACTGATCACACCTCTCAGCATTGGACAGATCATCTAGGCAACAAATTAACAGAGTAACCATTATTCTTTCAGAAGGAGAGAAGAAATCAAGGGTAATTAGGGGGGGGGAATGGGGGAAGGGGAGAGATTGGACAAGGGGCATAAAGAATAATTACGATTTGTAACAATATATATGCTAGTAATATTGATTTGATCATACCTCAATGTTCAACCCCAAAAATATGTATAATCGATTTTGATTCAATAAATAATATAAATTTTAAAAGATGAAAAAATAAAAAATAAACTTCTCACCCCCTCAAAAAATAATAATAAATTTCATAAATGTTTATACCACTTTTCCCCCACTGAACATAAATTACTTTAGAGAAACTTTTAAAAACTTTTTTATCAATACTTTGGAGTTGGGATAAGGTCTTTCCAGAGTTCCTTATATCAGGGAACACAGAAATGCCCCCAAATATTGAACTAAATATAATGTCATTCCTTAAAATAAAATTCTATCTGTATTACAATTAATAGAAAACCATTATACAAAAGTAGTGTATTTAGGATACCTTTTAACTACATTTCAGTGGCATTCCATCACGTAAAATAAAGTCCAATGTGGTTTAGAAAGCCTTTTGGGATCTAGTCCTGTGCTTCTCAAGCTTTAATCATGCAACTCACCTGTGGGTCCTGATAAAACGTAGACTCTGATTCAGTAGTCTATGATGGGGCCAAAAAGTCCCCATTTCTAAGTTCTGTAGATCACACTTTGAGTTCATACCTCACCACTCCCACACTTTAGATTTAGTGAATTACCACTCTTCCCCACCCACCATGTTCTTCATACCTCAGGCAGATGTCAATGCTGCTTCCAGATTCCTTGCAACCCCTATGAACTTATGTTCCAGAATTTATCACATTTGCTATACACGAGTCCATCTCCCTATCAGATTATGAGTTTGAGGATACGAAATGTCTATCCTCAGCACATAGATATTCAATAAATGTGTTCTGAGTACAAGTCACTAAGGTATCAAGTTCCTGCCCCCACTTTGAAATAGTGGTTACCACAATCACTTTCATTCCATAACATTTTCTTTTAAGTAAAATTCAGTAAAAAAAAAAAAACTGAATTAATCTCTTAAATTAAAATATAAGACAACACATATTTAAAATTAAAGTAAAATGTCACACTATTTGATGAGATGTTTTCCTCATTGCTGAAAAAAGGTTAAAGTCATTTCATTTTGAGGTAAAAAGGACAAAACAAGGATTATACATTTTGGTACTTTTAATTTAAATAATTTAAAAAAATAAGAATGGCATCAAATTTCTAATATATCTTTCCTATTTAAGTGTATTAGGACTCTTTTATTGTTTTTTAAAAACAGATGACACAATAACATCTTAAACAAAATGCTTATACAGGCAGCCGTCCCTTTACCACTCACCTTCCTCATCTATCCATTTCATGGTGAAAAGCTGTTCATTGTCAAAAGAACACATGTCTCGAACCTCACTGCAAAGGCCCTCAAAGGAGATGGAAGGTTCAAAATGTGTTATCATGATATCTCTGAAAAAGAAAAGGAGTTTTAAGTTTGAAAACGATTAAAATTTTATTTACATTTATTGAATGGCTGACGATTTGAGACTTCAGCTATTTTGTGTGTGTATCAACATGCACTGCTTCCAGTAAACTATCTCTGGAAAGCAAAAATTAAAATATCAATATTAAATAATGACTTAAAAATAAAAATATTGGATTTTTGAGAAACCTTAATTCAATCTCCCCTCACTCTGGAAAACCACCCTAACTGCTCTAACAGATGATAGTCCCACTTCTTTAATGTTATTAGAAACTTACTCCTTTGGGAGGCATTCCACTCTACAGATGAACAGTTCTATTACTGATAAGCTTCTGCCTTATATTTAACTGAAATTTATTTCAATCACTAGCCTCAGATCTCCCCTCCCCCAAAGTCTACCCTTCATCTAAGAGATGACACATCTCCATTGGCTTTGACTTCCACAGATTAACTACCCATGAGTCTGTTAATTGTTCTGTGTATGGCATGACATCTTCGTTTTCACCTTTTTCCAAAAGAATTACAGTTTGTCAAAATTGGTTTTAAAGTGACATATTTTAAGGTAGGTACTCAAAAAACATAGGAATAAATAAATAATAAATGTGTATTTACTTTTGTATTGGTGTTAGATGAGCAACAATTATTTAAATAAATTCACCTAGCAGCTATTCACTATAAGACTTAAAACCGTAACAAAATGTTTTACAGTAGAGGCCTGGCATTTCCTCCAAGGAGCCATGAAAAGGCTTCCTACAGTCTAATCTCCATACAGCAGCCACAGTGATCCTTTCAAATACAAGTCACATAGACTGAATGACTCTTAATTTAACACTTATATAGTGATACCTGTGTTAGACTCTGTTCTAAGGGTTAAACTCTTCAAATACCTCTCCCCTCAGGTAGAATAAAATCCAGAGTCCCTGGAAGGGTCTACAAGGCCCTGTGTGAACTGGTCCTGGCTACCTCTCTGACTGACCTCTCCTACCACTGGACAGGTAAACAAATGTTTATAGTCCACCATCTGCGCCAGCTACAACATAAGCTTGGTAAAAGCAGGGACTTTGTTTTCTTCATTATATTCCTAGAGGCCAATGCAGTGCCTAGCACAGAATGGCTGTTCAAATGGGTATTCGATAAATATTTGCTGAAGGAAGGAGGAAATGACACTGTTAGGAACTGTGAACAGACATGGGTTAGTCAGAACGCAGAGTAGGAAACAGGAATTAAAATTTTTAGTCATCTGCAAAAAATGTTACAACTGCAGTCTTTAGGGGATATAGAAGGTAAGCAGAGAGCCAAGCAGGCATAGAAATTGAATGGCCTTTTCTTGGTTATCATTTTCTTCTAAGCATCTCATATTTTTCTGCCCCTGCCTCTTAGAACTCTCTTGCTTTGGCTTTCATAACTATATGCTTCCCTGTCTCTCATTCGATACTATTCTGAACACTTAGGTCTCCTTTTGTCTTCAATCACAATACATTCTCTCATATTCATTCTCTCTCTCTCTCTCTGAAACCTAATTCACATTCAATGTTTTTACTATTATCTCTACATAGATGTCTCCTAAATCTGTAATTCCAACTCTGTGAGGTATTTAAGATTCTTGGTAATCTGGTTCCAACTTCTACTTTCAACTTGATCCCAGCACTCCCAACACAAATACTCTGTTATAGACAGCTGATTTACTCACCCATTAAGATCTTGATTATCCAAGTCTAATCCTGATATTCCCTCAGTTAATGGAGGGTGGAAGGAACTACTCTTAATGGGCGCTTCGACATCATCTTCCAATAAACCTTTTCAACCACACAAGTCTAAAGGTCTATACTTCTAAACCTGTCCAAAATGTATCTTATGTTCCGTCTTTTGTTATTTAGTTCATAATATACTGATAAAGCATCCTCAACTAAATTGTTAACAAATGAAAGAAAAAATTCTTTTTTTTTTTATTTTGTCAATATACAATGTAGTTAGTTATTGTGTCCCATATGAAAGAAAAAATTCTTAGACTTTTTAATATATTCACAAAACTGTTAACACAATAGGGACTCAAATATTTCTTGACTGAATGTAGAAGAAATACTTTCTATGAGAAACCTATCTTCCAGCAAATGCACTTTTGACAGGTATATATTATTAAGTTTACTTTCCTATAAACATTTATAAAATACTTATTATGTTCCAGATGTTTAAACAGGACTTATTTAATCCTCACGATAACAGTCAAACTAAACATACTAATCCCATTTTATAGATTTTAAAAGCAAGGAACAAAGGCATACTTAACAGAGTCTCACAGAAAATAAAACAGGAATTCAAATCAGAATCTCCCAATGACACCTGTGGTGCGTGCTGTGATCTGACCTTCTCTCTCTCCCACCACACTCCCAGAATCCACTATCAGCAATGGAGAATTTATTATCTCTGCTGCTGGGAGTGCTGCCAGTAGACAATCTTCAGCTGTCAGCCCCCATCAGAGATTTGACTTGACTCCTTGTCTATGATCATACTCCATTCCTGGAGCAAACCACAACCAATGACTAACTGGATGTGGGAGTAGAAAGGCCTTAGATACAACACAGGAAAGCTCTAAAGTGTCAACTCATCTTCAGCCTGGAGGGTCAACTGAGGTTTCCGTTGAGACTTCAGGGCAGCTTGATTTCTTTTTTTGCCTAAGCTTGTGCTATAATTTGAATGTGTGCCCCCTCAAAATTCATGTTAAGCTTAATATCCACTGTGGTAATATTTAAGAGGTTGGGCCTTTTGGGAAGTTAATAAGTCATGAGGGCTCCACCTTCATGAATGGATTAGTGCCTTATGAAAGGGCTGAATGGAATTAGCTTAGGCCCTTTTTTGCTCTTCTATCTCTTCTGCCATGTGAGGACCCAGTGTTTGTCCCTTCTGGAGGACCTAGAGACAAAGTGCTGTCTTGGAAGAAGAAATCAGGCCCTCATCAGACACGAATCTTCTGGCACTTTCATCTTGGACTTCACAGCGTCCAGAATTGTGAGAAATAAATTTCTGTTCTTTATAAATTACCCAGGCTATAGTATTTTGTTATAGCAGCACAAACTATGATTGCTTGCTTCCTTCCCTTCTCTTCTCTTCCACGCCAGTCAATCAGAAAAGCACTCCTGTATAAACCTCCTGCATGTAAATCTCCTGAGATACCACTTTACACAGCAGAATCCACCCCAATGCACATGTCTTAGCCTGTTCAGGCTGCTAAAATAAAATACCATAGACTGGGTAGCTTATAATCAACAGAAATTTATTTTTCAGAGTTCTGGAGGCTGGGAAGTCCAAGATCAAGGCACCAGTAGATTTTGTGCCTGCTGAAGCCCTAATTTCTGGTTCAAATAGAATAGCATCTTCTATCTGTGTCCTCTGAGATCTCTTTTATAAGGGCACTAATCCCATACATGTGGGTGGAATCACCTCCCCAAATCCCCACTTTTTAATACCATCACCTTGGGGGGTAGGGTTCAACATATAAATTTTGGGATGACACAAACACTCAGACCACAGCAGCAAAATTATTATCAAATGACATTTTTTGACAAAAATATAATAAATACAAAGTCAATTTCACTTTTTTTAGTGCTTTATCACTTAATTTCAGTTTTTTTAAGTGTAATTTTATTTTTTTAATTTATTTTTTAAATTTTATTTTATTTTGTCAATATACAATGTGGTTGATTATTGTGGCTCCCCCTGTCTCCCCCCTCCCTCCCAACAAGGTCATATCTATTCTCTTGTCTTATCAATTTCAAGGAGTTTTAGTCAATTTCACTTTTTTAAGAGACTGGTTAATGAAAAATATAATCCTTCTTTTGGAGATTAAATTAGTCTACCTTACTACATGAAGCTAGTTAGTTTTCTTTATTCTTCAGAGAATATACATTGCCAACATATATAAATTATACATTTTTTCTACCATGTAAAGTTATTTTATTATAAAATTTATTTTCTAATTAAATATGAATAAAATATAAAACATAAATTAAAAGTAAATCTTATAAATATTATTTTAAATATTTTTTAATTTTATTTTTTAAAAATAAAGCAAAAATAGAAAACAATTCCTTCCAGTGACATTAAAAGACAAGGTTTGGCCTGTTAGCTCACTTGGGAAAGGGTGTTGCTGGTAACACCAAAGTCAAGGGTTTGGATCCCTGCAGAGGCCAGCTGCCAAAAAAAGAAAAAGAAAGAGAAAAACTGCTTGCCTTAAAACAATCTTTCTTTCAAAGTACCCTCAAGGTTACTAGTATGAAGGTGTAAGGATTGGGAGAATGTAATTTGGTATTAAATTGGAAGAGAAGAAAGCCTCCTATAGACTTTCTGCGGCAAAGAACAAATGTGGTTACCTTCTTTGAACGCAAGGGTAAAAACTTGGGAACATCAGACATCATCAAGGTATGACTTCCTTATTAAAGTCCACATGGAGTTAAAATTAACACATATGTAAGCATATCTGTAAACAACAGGGATTTTTCAGAAATCTTATTTTTCAAGAGCTAAAAAATATTTATCAGAAAATATAAGTATTTTTAAAACATCTGTGTAATCCTTAAAAAGTATAAGTACATACAACCTTAAGAGACTCAATGAAAGAGTTATGCTATATCAACTAACACTCCTTAAGTTCCAGGAACTGAAGCATTTAAGGGAGTTTTATATAAACACTTATCTTAAGTAATTGGGAAAGCACAATGTTCATAGCATTCCATAATCACCAGATCCTAATTATAGTATCAAAGCTAAAAATGAGCTGGAAAATAAATATACCACATTCTAAAGGTATAAAACAAATTCTTGTTTAACTTCAGCATTAACATAAATTATTTTACCACTGATCTTCAACAGAATATAGTCTGCTTTACCATAAAGATTCTCAAAATGGAAAATTTTAGATATAATTTTAACTAAATTAAAAGAAAAAGAATAAAAGCATTTTTAATTTTGCGATTGGGATCCAGAAGACAAA